CCTAGCTTGCCATACGAAACAAATTTGTCGTGAATAAATGTTTTAAACGAAGTAACTCAAGTTTGTCTTTTATATGTATATATATATATATATATATATATATATATATATATTACATATACCAAACATTGGTGACCATGACTCAATGGTCACACCAGCCACGGCCAAATTGAAATCAGGTTTTAGTAAACAGTGAGAATATTTTTGAATCACTTTCAATTCTAATTTTATATATTTGGTTTTACTTCTTTAGAATTCAACAATCCGGTATGGCAGTTAGACTACAAATTTTCTTCACGATACCCACCCAGTGGAAGTGATGACCAAGTTATAAATGGCAAGAGAATAAAGAATCTCAGTGATAATCTTATCAAGCAATCAGATGACAGTTTTTTTACTGGCTATATTAGTTCACGCCAAGTTCGTTATCAGCCTGATCCTTTTTCAAGATTCAAATTGTACTGCGCGGTGACGTATTACAACGAAGCTGATTATGATGCATGTGACAAGAAGTACTTCGTCCCTGGTGGCTGATTTTTACTGAATATAAAGTTTGCACGTTGTTTTCTACGTAGTCGAGATTTATGTAATTTTGGTAATTTTCATCAAGGAGACTTTTATTATACTCAGTTAATGTATTCAAGCACGGTTCGGTTTTGCACCTAGATAGTCATTTGGTAATAAATAATTGTAGTTATAACAATGCTTATAAAATGGGGACTTTTGCAGTTGCAAACGATTTTTGTCGTATTTGTATATGTCGCTTTAAGATGAAAATGTCCCATCTTTTAACTTTGATAAGGAGAAAATTGACGGGCTGCGAACGTTTTGTTGGCTTCCCTTTGTCAGTCCATTAGCGGTATTAATCCAGACAGAGCTTCTTCCAACGCATTTTCAACCATTTTGAAGAAAGCAGAATGGAATGGTTTGGAATACTAGCCTGCACAGCAGGCGTCTATTTGCTTAAAAAACGCCTGAAGCAGGCGTGGCTCAATTGCTTCGGACACAAACTTTCGGCAAGAGAATTGACCAATGGGGAATTTTTCCAAAGTTTTCTCCAGTCGGCATGAAACGCTTTTCACAATGGCTGGCATTACGGCAGGAGTTTATTTTTCTCGCCGCCCGGAAGCAATTAAATGTCTGCTACACAGGCTAATTACATCGTTATAAGCAAGCTTTCGTTGGTAGGGATGCAACTACCTGAAAAATGTAAGGAGAATTTCAATTATATATATATATATATATATATATAATTTTATCATATATATATTTTTCAGGTAGTTGCATTGCTACTGCACCAAGGAAAGTTTGTTTATTTTATTGTAATATTGGCACAACCTACACAGGCACAGACCGTTCATAATTACATCGTTACATACAAAGCTGGGATTGTTTGCAACTTCGTTCCCATGGGAACGAGGTTGGGATTGTTTGTTATGTGTATTAATCGATAACGTTACGAATTTGCCACGAACTTCAGCATCTATTGGAAATTCGTCTGGAAGAATAATCTATAAATGGCTGAGGCTGAGAAACTGGATTATAATCTTCTGGAGAAGGTACTGTGATTATCCAAGAAACAATTATTGGTCCAGTATACGGTAGTAAAAGTGCAATCTTTCGGATTACTTTTCTTGACCAATCCAAAGTACAATCTAAGTATAGTCGAGATTTTTGTAATTCAGTTTGGTAATTTTCATCAAGGAGACTTTTATTACTCAGTTAATGTATTCAAGCACGGTACGGTTTTGCACCTATAGATAGTCATTTGGTAATAAATAATTGTAGTTATAACAACAGTGGCGGAAATCTTGGTGAAGCGGGGGGGGGGGACGGCCGCCCCCCCCCCTTCCGGAAAATTGACGAATTTTCGGAAATTTTGATCTAAAAGAGGGCTAAAAACAGTCTTTTCGAGTGCAAATGGGGGGTACGTCGGAAATTTCAAAGTTTTGTCGGAAATTTAGGAGGCTTTGCCCCCCACCGGAAAAAGTGAATTTCCGTCACTGTATAACAATGCTTATAAAATGGGGACTTTTGGCTTTGCAGTTGGAAACGATTTTTGTTGTATTTGTAAATGTTGCTTTAAGATGAAAAAGGTCCCATCTTTTAACTTTGCAAAATATGGAGAATATTGACGTATGGCCTGCGAACGTTGTTTTGGCGTCTTCTCTTTGTCAGTCCATTAGCGATATTAATCCAGACAGAGCTTCTTCCAACGCATTTCCAGCCATATATATATTTTGAAGAAAGCAAAATGGAATGGTTTGGAATACTAGCATGCACAGCAGGCGTTTATTTGCTTAAAAAACGCCTGAAGCAGGCGTAGCTCAATTGCTTCCGACACAGACTTTCGGCAAGAAAATAGACCAATGGAGAATTTTTCCGACATTTTCTCGGCATAAAACGCTTTTCATATTGGCATTACTGCAGACGTTTATTTTTCTCGCCTCCCGCAAGCAATTAAACGCTTACTGTGCAGGCTAATTACATCGTTATAAACAAGCTTTCGTTGGTAAGGATCCAACTACCTGAAAAATGTAAGGGGAATATATTTAAATTATATATATATTTTTCTCATATATATATTTTTCAGGTAGTTGCATCGCTACCAACGAAAGCTTAATTGTTTATATTGTTGTAATATTGTCACAACCTACACTGGCACAGACAGTTTATAATTACATCGTTGCATACAAAGCTGGGATTGTTTGCAACTTCGTTCCCATGGGAACGAGGTTGGGATTGTTTGTTGTGTGTATTAATCGATAACGTTACGAATTTGCCACGAACTTCAGCATCTATTGGAAATTCGTCTGGAAGAATAATCTATAAATGGCTGAGGCTGAGAAATTGGATTATAATCTTCAGGAGAAGGTACTGTGATTATTCAAGAAACAATTATTGGTCCAGTATACGGTAGTAAAAATGCAATCTTTCGGATTACTTTTCTTGACCAATCCAAAGTACAATCTAAGTAGTCGAGATTTATGTAATTCAGTTTGGTAATTTTCATCAAGGAGACTTTTATTACTCAGTTTTGCACCTATAGATAGTCATTTGGTAATAAATAATTGTAGTTATAACAATGCTTATATAAAATGGGGACTTTTGCAGTTGGAAACGATTTTTGTTGTATTTGTAAATGTTGCTTTAAGATGAAAAAGGTCCCATCTTTTAACTTTGATAAGGAGAATATTGACGTACGACCTGCGAACGTTGTGTTGGCGGCTTCTCTTTGTCAGTTCATTAGCGGTATTAATCCAGACAGACCTTCTTCCAACGCATTTCCAGCCATTTTGAAGAAAGCAGAATGGAGTTCATGGTTTGGAATACTAGCCTGCACAGCAGGCGTTTATTTGCTTAAAAAACGCCTGAAGCAGGCGTAGCTCAATTGCTTCCGACACAGACTTTCGGCAAGAAAATAGACCAATGGGAAATTTTTCCGACGTTTTCTCGGCATAAAACGCTTTTCATAATGGCATTACGGCAGACGTTTATTTTTTCTCGCCGCCCGCAAGCCAATTAAACGCTTGCTGCGCAGGCTAATTACATCGTCATAAAAAAGCTTTCGTTGGTAGGGATCCAACTACCTGAAAAATGTAAGGGGAATATATTTCAATTATATATATATTTTTCTCATATATATATATTTTTCAGGTAGTTGCATCGCTACCAACGAAAGCTTAATTGTTTATATTGTTGTAATATTGTCACAACCTACACTGGCACAGACAGTTCATAATTACATCGTTGCATACAAAGCTGTGATTGTTTGCGACTTCGTTCCCATGGGAACGAGGTTGGGATTGTTTGTTGTGTGTATTAATCGATAAGATTACGAATTTGCCACGAACTTCAGCATCTATTGGAAATTCGTCTGGAATAATCTATAAATGGCTGAGGCTGAGAAATTGGATTATAATCTTCAGGAGAAGGTACTGTGATTATTCAAGAAACAATTATTGGTCCAGTATACAGTAGTAAAAACTCAATCTTTCGGATTACTTTTCTTGACCAATCCGAAGTACTTTTTGTTTACACGATACCGGACTGAATACTTTTAGAATATTCGAAAAAAAGCACAATTCATGTGCATATAGCGGATTAATTTAACTTAAGGTCCCAATTAGAGTCTGACGAATTCGTAATATAACAGTAACGTAAGACTATTTTGCAGGTTCATATCTTCGGTTTAGTAAACGCTATGAAGACAAAAATACTACCGTTCGATTCAGTGAAATAAATCCTAATGATAGTTTTAGTCAAATGTCAACATTATCAATAGCGATTTATAACCTTTGAGAGGTCATGCAATATTATTTTTCATTAAATACACCCTTTCGATAATTATGTTACAACTATACACTGTTTTCAACTTAGAACCATCTTAAATGGAAAGGATTTTAAGTTCTTTTTCTCACGGGCTATGCACAGAGAAGCAGAACATCTTTCTTCAACATATGCTCGAAAAAAATGTTTGATTTTGATAAAAAAATATGGAAATAAGCATTAACACGAAAACGAGGCTCCAGGTCATGATCTAGCGATGGTCCTAAGATATGGTCATTTAAGATGGTCCTAAGTTGAAAACAGTGTAGTTGTAACGTAATTATCGAAAGGGTGTATTACTCAATTTTCTCGAACAATGTAAACAAGCCATACCTTTCGCCGTATAACTTCGCGCGGCCCCTTGCAAGAACAGCTTACTGATAAATCCAATGATGGTAGTTGGATCACAACAATTGCTTCAACAACTGGATTATGTCCCTAGCATTAATTTGATTGGAAAAACCCTGGAACCTGTGTCGCAAGTGAATGACAGACTTGGGGACAATACTTGATTCTAAATTAAAGTATAATGAACACATACAGTATTTATCATCATCATGTGTCTCCAAACTTTGTCAGATAAACCGGGTAAAGCATCTATTTATTTAGTTATGAGTGAAATCAACTACTGCTCATCAATAAGGTCCAATACATCTGAAGAGAACATAAAAAAAATCCAGCTAATTCAGAATTATGCAGCGAGGGTTATTTCAGAAAATGTAGGTAAATATGACCATGTATCTCCTTTATTAAAGGAACTCGGTTGGTCAATGAATTAAGAGCATCTACAATACAGAGACGCTGTCCTCACTTACAAATGCATACATAATCAAGCACCCCCCGTACTTAAGCCACAAGTTCATAAAAAGAAATCAAATCCATGGTCGCGTTACACGAAGCCAAATTAAAATGAACTTGACATTCCACTGAAAGTATCGGACCGCAACCGGCCAAAGAACATTCGAATACAGAGGAACCAAAATCTGGAACGCACTGGACGAGGATTTAAAATCCATTGTTGATATCATCAATTTTAAATCTAAATTAAACCAGGACTTTTAGAAGGAAATATACAATTTACATTTTAATCTTAGTAATTAGTTTGACAATTTTAATATGAGATAATCTAATTGTCGGGGGTTTTATTCCGGTCGTGGGTTTTATTCGCGGGTTATTAACGAAAGTCGCGGGTATTTTGTCGCGGTTTTTTCGCGGGTCTTTTCCGATTTCCCTGTGAGCGTTCTTTGCCGGGGGGGGGTGTTTGCACGAAACATCGGCTGTTCTCTTCAAAATAAGACCCCATTAAACTTTATTTTTTAGTGTATACAGTGTCTTTAAACCGATTTTGACTTAAAAATCACAAAATATTAAAAACTCATTTGATAACTCTGTTGATAACTCTATTAAAAACTCTGTTGATTCATGCAATATCATTACAAACGGTAAGGAATCGTGTTTTAATTTATATCGTTGTCAGTTGGTCTTTTATAAAAGACTATTAAAATAGCCCGTCACTGCATTAAACTCAACTAATAAATTAATACAAATATGACAATGTACAGTTTATGATAACTATAAAATATGTACTTCCGAGGTCTGCTGTTCAAACTCGTTACTCGTTAGCATGCACTATTAGACAGATTTCAGTAGAAATTAAAGATGACGCGACCTCAAAGACGACGTGGATGTCGTCATTTGGCGCCAACTGTGTTCAGCTTCTGGTTTGTCCAGTTGAAGTCGGTCGATATGCTAATATTGACTATAAGTTACGCCTATGTCCAATTTGCGATTCAAATGATATAGTTGACGAATACCATTATTTATTAATTTGCAAAAATTACAAGTTAAAAAATCTCAAAGAAAATTTCCTGAAAGAGATACTGGAAGTTAATAGTTGTTTTAGTTCACTAGGTAAAAACGGCCTGTTTCTTTATTGCATATCCATGAATGACAAGAGTTTAACAAATTGTACAGCCAGATACATTTACGAGTTAAATAAGATTTTCTCTGACTGTACTGTTTGTAATTAAGGATTAGCTATAGTTTTATTGTTTGTATATGTATCTGTTATATTGTGATATATCCTATGTACCAGTAATGGTGTAATGGAATAAATATATTATTATTTTTATTATGAAAACAATTTTATTGAGAAAAAAGAAAAAGAAACTGCAAATCTCTCCTAGATTTACTTCTTCCCATAGCCCATAGGCAAACTTGAAAACAAAAATAATTCAACAAAAATCAGCGAGATTTCAAACCATTGCATATCCTTGATTTCGAAACAAATTTTTGCGGTCTTTTTAGTAAAAAATGCCCGCCATTTTGTAAGTTTTCGGGGGGTGGTGGTGAATGCCTCTCCTTAGCGCACTGGCTAAGCTTTTGGTTACACTCAGACATTAGCGTTTCGTAATACAGTTCTACCTCTGTGTAGTATCTACTCTGTGGCCTCGTCCCATTTAAAAACTGAACAAAATTGCAAAAACTTTTCGTATTTTTCTCGCATTACAAATTTGTTTTGTTCGTTAAAATATTGTTAGTATATAGTAAAAGTATCGTAGATTTTATTTCCGTTATTATTTTAGCGTAATTGTAAAGTATTTTGAATTGTTTGAAGGTATATGTATCGGTAGTTTGATTGCATTTGCCTACCTTAGAAAATACTACAACTATTCTATGCCTCGCCCGCGCGCAGGCATGCAGGCAACCATAACATTGGACTGCCTATGGCTATGCTATTTCTGTGACAGTAGTATCCGGAAAATTCAGTT